ACGATAAATAGTAATTAAAAAATATGTGTTTACCTTGTCAGCTTGTCGGAGGCAGTCTATGCGTCTCATTTTGCCTTTCTGGTCAGGGTTTGATAAGACACAACATGCAGCTTTCTTCCCAGTGATGGACAGGACAAAGTCCTCTCTGCACTCAGGTCGTATGTCTTTTCTCAGCTTGGCCAAAAGACGGCTAGCCCATTTCTGTTTTATCTAGAAATCGAGAGATCGTATAGAAAACAGTATTTAGAAAATGACCAAATTGCAAAACAATAAACAAATTTATTTACTCAGTTTAGCTGACAAAAGTTAGAAAGATTTAAAAAAGGAAGTACTGTGAACTCAGCCACAGTCCCACCTCCGCCTTCTCTCCCAGTAATTCATCCTTGACTGCTCTCTCCTCTTCTTTAGTCATCCTCTTCTCATGTTTTTTGAAGTACTTCCTTTTCCTGGCCTGGAGGTTGAACCATGTGTAGGCGAAGGCACGAACCTGGGGCAGCAGAGCCTCAATGAATGGATGGAACTCATCCTACGTGACAAACAAAAACACACAATCACATAAATGCACATTATATTATTGAGGCTGTGTTCTGGCAAGAATTTGGTGATATGAAACATTTTACAACACAGGGGTCACGATATGATATATCACAACACTAAGCAAGGCAATACAGTATATTGTCTTTTTTTTTTTTTTTTCAAAAAATGAATTCAGTATAAAGAGCACACATACATTAATTTCAGTTTCTTTTTATGCAATCAGAGGATATTTCACATTTCTTCTTACAACAACAGTCCAATAAAATTTAAATGGAATAGATACAGAATCAGGTAATGAAATATCACAATATTTCAGTGTATCAATATTTCTTGACGCCTCTAATGTTTATTACATTTACAAACTACTTAACACGTAGAACTCAATATATTAGATTCTCATGAAAAAGTTTATTTATTCCAGTATTCCCATTCAAAAAGTGAAACCCATATATATTATAATGTAGTAAGTTCACTATTTGAATGAATTTACGGAAATAACTTAACTTTTCAAATATAATCTAATTTACTGAGATGTACTTGTATTTCTCCAAACGTAATTCAAAAATCTATCCACAAAAAGTAAGATTTCAATTAGTTTTATACAAAACATCGCTACAAAACAGACAAAAAAGTCATTTTAAATTTGGAAAATACTTTATCCAAATACAGTATTTTAGAAGCCCTAATAAAAAAAATTAAGAGTTGCAGTTTTGTCTATAGTGTTAGTAAGACTGCAAACTAATTTTTAATAGAAAAATGTGAGGAGAGAAAAAAACAACAATGAATTAAACTCAAAATAGGGACCTCTGAAATTGTGTGATTTAGCTGAAAACAAACAGAAAGTTGAAGACAGCTTGTTAAAAGCAAAGCTTCTTAGCCAAGCAGCAAAGCTGAAATAATAATTTATTTTTTGTGTTGTTTCATAATGTTTGTTGGGTTTACTCTCAGTTTCTCCAGTGTTTTTTCTCTTTGCAGCTCTGCCCCGCCCACCTGTTCCTCATTTGTCTCCTCACCAGGGGTCGGATTTATAAAACTGGCGTACGCACAATTTGAGCCCAGAAACTTGCGTACGCCACTTTTTACGCCAAGGTTGTGATTTATAAAATCCAAACTTGACGTGAAAATGTGCGGTGCCTCACGCCAACTCTGACCCATGCGTACGC